GTCATCTGCATGAGGACGGTCCCACAGGCCTGGACGACCCGAAGGTTGAGGCACAGGAGCAACCGTGGGTGGTCTGACTATTCTGACGACTGTTCACTGAACGTTCTTACCTTAGAGGTTCTAATGGAAAAATGACTCTCAAAATGAAGACATAATTCCTTTGAATTTGGGAAGAATGAATAAATCGTCTGCTTTTCATAGTGACTGCAAACACATGGAACCTTTTATCCAGAAAGTAGTCGCAGCCGGAATGTGGACAGGTTATAAAGGGGTAAGTCGTGGGTGCCAGTGATGCAGGGGCCAAGCACGCTCACCTTCATCTTCGGGGTTACACAGCGGCGCCTGCGCTGCAAAGGCAACAGCTGGCCCCCCACCTCCAGCTCTGCTCCTCCCCTCCAGTTCCTTCTCTGGGGAGAAACCCTCTTCTAACAAATTACAGGCTCCTCCACTGATATCATCCCTGGACACGAGCATCACATGCAGAGTGTCACAGTGAACTTCCTGATAGAAGTTTCTCACGTCTCCAATATTCCTCTTGAGTATCTGTCTTCTGTGACCATAGTTCTATTTTGCATACAGGTTTCTCTTCAAGGCCTTAGCTTTGATTTTTTTCTCTTTAAAATCTTTCATTTTTATTACTCAGTCTGTAGATTATGTTCTCATAAGTAATTTAAAGTTTCACATGGTCTTGGTTTATTTTAATAGGATTTGTTTCTAGGTCTCTTTTATAGGGTGTCCCAAAATTCACGCAAGATTTGAATTTTGCGTGAGCATTAACAACAACAAAAAATAAAAGCCTAATTTTACTTGGTTTATTGAATCAGATTCTAATATCTGTTGCCCTTTGATTTCAATCCCTTCAATTTGATAAGCATTACCAAGTACCAATGATGGCCCAGGAGCAGGGACAATGAAGACCAATGAAGACCACAGCTTTGCGTATGTGCCAGCAAAGCCGTGGAGGCCATTGACCCGATGTGCTATTCCATACATAACCCTATACTGTATACTTTATGAATCAATAAAAAATTTATAATTTTTTATTATAAACCCGTGTTTTCTTTCAAAATTACTTCTTGTGTGAATTTTGGGACACCCTATACATTCTATTCTCTTGTCCCAAAGGGGTGGCTCTGGCACCATGTGGGAGATGCTGGAGGAAGGCCAGGGCCCACCTGCCAAGGCAGGAGGGGCTGTGGGATGGAGACAGGACACGGAAGAAACCATTTGGAGGTGGACTTGAGGGACTTGGTTATTGGCTGCATCTGAGGACGGTGAGGAAAAGGTGTCAAGGACGACTCCCAGGTGTGGCTTACGCAACCAGGTGGCCAGATGGCAGGTGCCTCCCTGGGAAGGACCCTGGGGCGTGGGAGGCATCACCCTCGGTAAGCCTCTGCTCCTGTCCCCGGCCGCAGTGGCTGCTGCTCCATCCTCACACAGACCCCCAAGGAGGCGCTGCCTGTGCACACCACCACCTCTGCACGCGGACGGGGCTCCCTGCCGGGTCCCACGGCAGCCACCTGCAGCCCGACCGCTGAGGGCGCCCAGCTCTCTGAGCCAGGTGAGACAGGACAACGCACGTCTGGCCTTCACCCCTCACCCTCTCCGGACTTTAACCAGCGCCTCCTCGGCCCGGAGCTGGGAGAACCTGCAAGGGGCCTTGTTGGCTGTACGGCTGGCGCGGCCGGCCGGGAACTCACGCCCTGAAGTTCCCTGCTCTGCCTGCAGCCCCCTCGCCGAGATGGCCACCTCAGGCTCCCTGCTAGTCACCCCCTTCACACCCCCAGCCATTCCAATTTCCTGTATTTTCCAACCCACGATGGCCTTCCCCTTGCGCGGATGTCGGATGCCGATTAAACTAAACTCTGGTTCCTAAGTCCCTCTCTTATTCCTCCTCCCTCCGCCCCCCAGGCTCTCCTGACCCTCCTTTCCCACTCGGTCTCCTTTACTCAGCGGACCTGCCCACCCCCTGCCAGTCCCTCCACCTGAGCCACTGCCGAGCCAGCACCCGGACCCAGCTCCCGCCGCACGTCAGAGAGGCTCAGCCACTCACACGGACGGTCAGCGACGCGGTGCACCAGGAGGGACTCTGGTCTCACCACAGGGGCTTCCTGGTGATTACAAAGCTATGACCCTCCCCTGGCCCGTGTGGCTCAGTGGTTAGGCATCATCCCATCACCAAGAGGTTCGATCCGGGTCACGGCACATGCCCGGGCTGTGGGCTCGATCCCCAGTAGGGGGCGTGCAGGAGGCAGCCGATCGATGCACTCACCTCAGTGTTTTTTTCCTTCTCTCTCCCTCTCCCTTCTTCTCTAAAAATCAACAAACTCCTTTCAGAAAGCCACAGAACTCACCTCTTCATCTGTGAGAGTCGGGTCTTCCTCGCGGGACTTGTACGACAGGGCACTGAACCTCTGTGAGGAAAACAGAAACGAGGCGGGTGTGACGTCAATGCCGCCTGCCGCCTGTGTGCGGCATCTTTCTGTAAGAACGCTCTCAGATGACTGTTAGGAAATCGAGGATGTTCTGCAATGACATTAGGTAAAGCCCCAGAGGAATACACACGCCAGAAGCCTACTCTGTGATGTTTCTGGAGAGCCAGGAGCAGCACAGACATTTCTTCCACTTTTGTATTTGAACCGGTCGGTACAAATAAGCCAGACAGACTACTGTTTCAATTCCTATCAGTGAAGGATTGATCATCAATGAAGAATCAATAATAAAAAACATGGCTTCTTCATGGCACGCCTGGATCTTGTGTTCGGACAGTGTGCACGAGTCGCCAGAAAGATTCCCGAGCCCGCGGGAACCTTATCAGAGCTCACGGAGAGGCAGCTCGCACTGGCGGCAGGCTCCTGCCTCGCTTCTCCCACACCTCTCCTGTCTCCCCACATTCTCCCCGATTTCAACAAATTCAACAAACACGCGTCCTTTCAAACCCAGCCCTCAGTTCCCCGGCCTCCCCGACCGCCCTCCTCCACACGGCCCCACCGCTCATGTCCTGGTCCCCACAGCCCGACCTCCTCGTACCTGAACCACAGCCCACAGCCGCTCCACCATCCGGACTCCTGGCAACCCCGTCTGCGCTGGCTGCTGCCCGGGCCCCTCCCGGTGTCTGCCTCGCCGGGACCTTCCTTTCTGCTCCCCTGGCTCAGACTCCACAGCCAGCCCCCCAGGCCCACCGTAACCTCAGCCCCGCCCTAGTCCCCAGGAACCCACCCTCACGGACAAACACTTTACATTCGTGTCATCCTCTTTGGTTATGCAAAGGGCAAACATTAGACTGTGTTTGTATTTCACGACTACGATCACCATCGTAGGGGCTCTGGGCAGCTGATTTCCTGGAAAATCTGAAAAGTGGAAACACTGCGCAGATCGACTTAGTGTCAGAGTTCACCTCTGACCATGAACTCCAGATGGGTCTAAAGCAGTGGTTCTCAACCTGTGGGTCGCGACCCCTTTGGCGGTCGAACAACCCTTTCACAGGGGTCGCCTAAGACCATCCTGCATATCAGATGTTTACATGACGATTCATAACAGTAGCAACATTACAGTTATGAAGTAGCAACGAAAATAATTTTATGGTTGGGTCACCACATGAGGAATTGTATTTAAAGGGCCAGAAGGTGGAGAACCACTGGTCTACAGGCTACTACTGTCAGACTGATCCCTACGTGGCCTTCCTACCAGAACCTAAGAAGCAAACTTGCTTTTTTCTGTGTAGAACATAGTAACTAGATGTCAGCTGCCTAAAGAAGACCTAGTGAAACCCCACGGGACAGGAGAACGTCTTGGGACCGTCGCTCACACACCAGGTCACAGAAGCACAGGGAGAGCTTGCAGATCGCGGCACTGAGAGCTCTGCTGAATATCTAAATGGGAGGGACGGGCTGTTGTCTAGAAATTGTCACAAAACACAATCTCTCACTAAAAGTATAAAGTTCAGCCCTGGCCGGTTTGGCGCAGGGATAGCGCATCGGCATGCAGACGGGTTCCAGGTTTGATTCCCGTCAGGGCACATGCCGGGGTTGCGGTTTCCATCCCCAGTGGGGGGCCTGCAGAAGGCAGCCGATCCATGGTTCTCACTCATCATTGATGCTTCTATCGCTCTCCCCCTCTCCCTTCCTCTCAGAAATCAATAAAAATAGATTTTTAAAAAAGAGTACTGTACTCTTCTTTATTGCTTTAAAAAAACAGTATAGTTAGTCGGACACAACCAGTGGCACCATGAGTCATCTCCCGTGCCTGCTCCTGGCTTTGAGGACTGGGACCGGAGAGGACAGAGGTCACCCGGCCGCTGGAGGAGACAGCAGGCAGAGGGCACGAACTGCCAAGAGTTGGGTCTCGCTCCTTATTTCCCTGTTTCAAAAGGAAGAAAGCAGCACTTGGCCCCAATTCGACATGATGCAAAAATGGGAAAACATCCAGGTACAGTGCCACGAGAGAGCGATTTGATAAGCTTGCGTGTTCCGTGTTTCACTACTTGGAGGGAAAAGGTCCGACACAGCTTCCATCAAAACAGCGCTCGTCCCTCCCTGCCCTGCACGTGCGCAGGTCTCTGTGTGTGTGTGCATGTGTATGTGTGTGTGCGCGTATGTGTGCGTGCGTGTGTATGTGTATGTGCGTGTGTGTGTGTGTGTATCTCCCCGAACCGGCTCAGGAGGAGCCCAGGCCCTGACTCCTGCGGCCACAGGCGCTCACCTTGTTGGTCTCGCGGGTCCCCTCGGAGGCGCTCCTGTCCTGCGCCTGCAGGTTCTCGTTCTCGTCCAGAAGTTTCACGGGCACCGGCGGCGGGGCCTCCTCCTCTGCGTCCCGGGCAGGGCCCAGCACACTGTCTACATTCATGCTCTGCCGACACTTTTTGTTCCTGTCCACCGAGGCGTACTCCGCGAAGTCGGCTCTGCCGGGGGTCTGGGGCGCCGGCGGCTCCTTGGGAGCGGGGGCCGCCCTGGACCGGCCGCCGGGGCCTTTGCCCGGGGGTGCGGCCGCCTCCTTGATCTCCTTCACCGTCTCATACAGACAGTCCTCCACCATGTTCTCCTGGGACGAGCTGTCCTTGAGCACCTCGTAGGGCCCTTCCGCCCCTGCCCCCTGGTCCCCGTCCACGCTCCCGGCGCTGGCCAGCGTGTCCGCGGCGCTGTCCGGGGGGATCTGGGGCAGCTCCCGGCTCTGGTGGCCCTTAGGCTTCCCCGAGCCGTCCTGGGCGTCCGGCAGGTCGGAGGCCGTGGCCAGCACCTCCTCGTAATGCTGCGCGCAGGTCCCGGCACTGCCTTCCGAGGCGACTGGAGCGGACGGAAAGGGGAGAAAGACGCCCCGAATTATTAACCCGGGGAAGTGCTGCTGTGCTTACCTGTGTGCGGCTCGGCTGCAAGGCACAGGCGGCCGCTTGTTAGTCGGCATTCTCAGGGCAATCACGTCTTCCCCGCAACGTTTAGTGTCTTGGCTGCACACTTGGCTCTCGGGGACTTCCACTACCTGCTGTTACCCTGCTGGGACCCTGTGGGCAGAGGTCCCTGTGCCCAGAGTGTGACAGTGATGATCAGGGCCACAGTATGAGAGGCGGACCTTCCAAAGGTCACTTTGATTTGGCAGATGTGAATCATGGGGCAAAAATGTGCCCTGCAGTAGTGCCAGAGAGGCCTGCATACCAGGTCTCCTTCCCTCGCCCCATTTCCACCTCCACCCGGAAAACCCGAATGGGAGCCCTCGGTGGGGAGGGCCACAGGTGCGGCCGGGAAGGTCCCCAGATGCCGCGTCTCCAGGCACATTCTTGGTACCCGGGCATGAAGGTGTGAGGGCGTGCACACGGAAACGCATGCTGAACTATGCACGATGCCCCCACTCACACGTGTTTATCGTGTGCGACTCTATCTGACATATCCACACCCGTCTCTCTTGGGGGTTAGAAAGCATCTGGGAAAGTGAGCACGGACCCCACCCTCGAACTCCCTCCCCGTTCTGAAGGCTCTGCCATCACAGGGGACTTCTGCCGCCGGGGCAGGCGTCTGTGCCACGGGGACGGGTGGCACTGGGGTGTGGCCCTGGTCAGTCCTGAGCGCCCAGGGTGTCCGGAGTGCCAGGGAGCCAGCACATTGGCCGCCAACCTCCAAGCTGGGTGCCCTGCCCCCGGGGTGTAAGACACACACACACACATGTGCACACACACACGCACACGCGCACACACACACACAGGTCTGGAGTGCCAGGGAGCCAGCACATTGGCCACCAACCTCCGAGCTGGGTGCCCTGCCCCCAGGGTGTAAGACACACACACACACACACACACACACACACACGTGCACACACACGCGCGCGCGCACACACACATGCAGGACCTCCTGCTGAGAGAGGCAGGTGGTCCCAAGGATGTGCCCGAAACTCAGATGCTGAGTTTAAACACAGCCCCTCGGTGCACTGACTGAGACCTCAGGTAAATGCCCAACCTGTGCAGGGAGAACCATGGTCTCAAAGGGTCCTAGTCCCAGTTCCTGCAGCCCCTGAGTGACAGGTGATGGGGGAGGGGCTGTGAGAGAGGTGATGGGGGAGGGGCTGTGAGAGAGGTGATGGGGGAAGGGCTGTGAGAGAGAGAGGTGGGGTGGCAGGTCCCGGCACTGCCTTCCCAGGCGACCAGAGCAGATGGAAAGGGGAGAAAGACACCTGGAGGGGGGAGGGAGGGGCTGTGAGATAGAGAGGTGATGGGCAGGGTGGGTCTAGGCTAGTGATGGCGACCTACGACACGCGTGTCAGAGGTGACACGCTAACTCATTTTTTTGGTTGATTTTTCTTTGTTAAATGGCATTTAAATATATAAAATAATATCAAAAATATGTCTTTGTTTTACTATGGTTGCAAATATCAAAAATTTTCTATATGTGACACGGCACCAGAGTTAAGTTAGGGTTTTTCAAAATGCTGACACGGCGAGCTCAAAAGGTTCGCCATCACTGGGCTAGAGACAGTGGAAGTACCAGCTGAGCTGAGCGGGACAGAGCAGCCTAGGGTAGGTGGGCAGGTGTGTTACCAGGTGCCCGTTGAGACAGGCGGGCGGACAGTGGGAACAGAGACGTGGGCGAGGGCGAGGCAGGGAGGAGGCGAGGTCCACACTGATGTTGGGGCTGAAGTCCCTTCACCTGTGCTGCGGACCTAAGTTGGTGGGAATGCGGCCGCGGCCCGGGCCGCCCTCCCTGCATGCTGTGGGCAGTGACACTGCTCACGTGAGTGCTGCTCTCACAGGGGCAGGAGGGCCTGTTGGTAACGCCACCTGCCAGCGGCTTCAGGACGAGTGAGTCAGCAGGGCCGCCCTCACCAATCAGCACCGAGCTTTCCATCCCTGAGACGACTTTTGCTAAAACTGGCGCAAACAGTGAGCAACTTCCTACTTCCTAGCCTTTGGCTACGCCTGTGGAGCCCTGGTCTTGGGGGTGAGTCCTGTGTGGCGTGTGTGCGAACTTACTGTCCCCGTTGGTGAGGGCGCCGTTCTGGTCACTGCTGAGGGGCGCATCCGTGGCCAGGCTGGTCACCGAGCGGCTGAACACCTCCTTGTCCGAAGGCTGCACGAGAGACGCATGCGGTCAGAGTCCGAGCCTCTTTCTAAAAAACGGGAACATCCGCAAAAGCCCACACCCACTGCTTTCGTTAGACAAAGGGAAATTAAATAGACGTCAGTTGCCCATGAACTCGGCACACGTCCCGTGCTCTGTGCCTCGTGTGGTGAGGGCTCCTTTCCCACGTCCTGGTGGGAAATTCTGCTGGACGGGGCCGCCCCAGCATCGCCAGGGCACGGGCACCTCCCACCTGCGGTCTGCAGATGGGCCCGCGGGCGGTGAGGGGTCAGCCCTCGCGGCAGGGGAGGTGGGGACAGAAGCCCCTGCTGCTCGTCATGGTGGAGTCCAGCACAGCCTCAGCCCTGGGCCAGGTGCTATGAACACTATTCTGAAAGGTGAGCCATGCCAGGCAAAGCAGGGGAAAGGCCACCCACTGCTGTCACCCGAGGAAAGAGACCCCAGTCTGTGGGGCAATGACCCTAACGTCCTCAACCCCCGAGACTGCGCATACCCAGCGGGTCCGCTTCCAGCTCAGAAACAGCCAGCGGCGAACAGGCAGGTCTGCAGCCTCTCCGAGCCCGACCCTCGGCCCTGGGAGGGGGGACGGTGTGGGGAGCGAAGGCTTTCTGCCAGGCTCGACTACGTAGGTTCATAGACGACAGCCAGGCCGAGCAATGGCTATGGGTGTCATCAAGTTGGCAGTTGATGCATTTCTACAAGTCCTCAGCTGGCCTCACGTGGCGCCTGAGCCACGGCTCCCAGGTCTGCCCCCACCCGTGACAGAACACGCGGCCTATGGGGGCCAGGGGGCCGCCCTGGACCTGCTCCGGTTCCCCCTGGAGAACGCTAGTACGAAGAGCACTGGGAGCCTGGCCCGCGGGCCTCGAACACGTGACTCCGGACTGGGAGCCACACAACAGTGGAGTGCAAGTGGCTCACGCTGCGTCAAGGCCCCCAAGCTCGTGGGACTCAGCTGTTCCGCTCAGGGGAGGTGCCCAGGGGATGGGCCACTGTGGGAGGCGGCCAGGACCGCGAACAGATGCCAACATCGCAGGAGGGACGCTGCCTGGGCGGGCGTCAGGTGTGAGGGAGGAGGCCTTCCCGTAACAATCCATCCGGCGGAATGACCACACCTGGGCTCTGCCCCACCTCTACCCTTAGCCGCCAGGAGAAAGGCCCACGGGAGCCGACAACCAGAGGCGGAGACGGGTGGGACAGAGGCCGAGGGGTGGTGCTGCGAACCCCAGGATGGCAGCAGGTGCGCCGGAGCAGAAGGGCAGGGACCCCCGGGGCTCCCTGGAGGAGAGGGTCCCAGTAGCTCCATGTCTGCCTGGGCGTTTGCTGGGCAGGGCGGCCGAGCCTGGAGACGCCTCGGTGAGCATGGAGCCTGCCTGCTGCCTGCAGGCTTTACACCCTCCCCCCAGACAGGCTGACTCCACACGTGCTGCCTGTGGCG